AGGAGGAGGAGGAGGCAGTGACATTGGTACATTTGTCCCCGTGCAGTTCGTCTGTGGTTCTTGCTGAGGCATCATGAGTGCCTACGCACTGTGGTAGATCAACAATGTTTCCCCTCGGTGGACTCTGTGGAGAAGTGACATAACGTGCCGAGATTAATCGTCTTCCAGTAAATCACAGCAGCCGAAAGTACGAGCGGATTTGGTCGGAATAGACTTAAAAGATGGAAGGCGCACGAGGCACGCAGATGGAAATGCACTGACGCCCCAGCAGACAACTGCTCCTCCAGAACTACGCTCACGCGCTCACGCACGGACGCACGCGCGCACGCGCAAGCGAGTCCGAGCACCGATTGATCGGAGGATGCTGTCGATAAGGTCCTGCGCATGTGACCAATCAGGATGCGCCAAATAGACAATGAGAGGAGCAATATAAAAGGCGGCCCCGACCCGTGGACAGTAAGCACGGTCACTGCTTCCCCTTCTATTCCTGCTTCTCATCTGCACATCAGTTTTGGGCATACAAAGGGGAACAGCACAGAACAAAAATGGATAAAACCAAAAGTCACCTCGCTGTTGGTCTCCTTCTCTCCCTCCTTTTTCTCATTCTCGCCGTGGCGCTGCAAAACTGGCGATGTGGTGGCGTGTTGGACTCCTGTCTGAATTCAGTAGCGAAGGAGTCCTATCAGATTGTGGGGGCCCTCCTCGTCTCTGCCATCTTGGTCATCCTCGTCGCAGTCGCAGTTGTCATTGTGGACTGCGTAACCTCAAGGTCCTGGGCCATGCCAGTCTCCCTAGGACTGACCTGGCTTGGAGGTATCCTCTCTCTGGCCGCAGTAGCATATTACTTCGCCAAGTTGGATTCAATCTACTGTCCTCTGCTGGCTGTGATCGGAATGTCCTTCGCGATGGCCATGGCGATCACCACAAGCATTACAGCCATATATGTACGACGTGCTTAATCGTACTTACCAGACCCCTCCTTCAGGGTATGTGAGTGTAATTGCTAACTTCGCAGACATGCAGTGAATTAACAGACTGTCGCAACTTTTTCCGTATTTTGTCTATCTACGGATGCAGTGCTTCCCTAAATGTACCGACTAGGTCCCCATTTTGTCATATATTGTTTCATTTGTATGATGTAGCATATTTATGAATTAAAACGCTTGGAAGTATGGAAATAAAGTCCACCTTTGCTGTTCACAAACAACCTTATAATTGGGGACCTAATCCGGAAGTTATTTCGAGGCGCTAGTTATTTCCGAGTGTGTTATCTCCCAGCGGTTTAAAACATTTGTGGGAAATCGTTGTATCCCAAAGGTGCTTTAGAAGGCCTTTAATGAATGGGAGATGTTAATGTGGTATTAGTGCCGCCAATGGAATGAGACATGCCTAGAAGTGAACTTTGATTTTTAACGGTAGAGGAGTAGATTTGGGTACACTAAGTCGAGTCGAAAGGCGCATAGCTTGCGTTGGACCATGGAGCTGTCGAAGACCACGCAAGAATACTCCTCATTCAACAAAAGTTGCCTAATTCCGTCTTCATTTTGGGCGCCATTATCAGCCCTCCCCCGACTCTTCTTTACTGTATATTAAGTCGCCCCTTTGAACAACTCCAGAGGTGAAGCTGAGGTGTGTCATACACAGAGAATTGACGGTCTCACTTTCAGAGACCGGTGCACCCACCCATTCAGTCTCCTCATACCAAAAATCGGAATGGCATCAGGACTCCTAACTTCCGCATTTAAGCATGCATGCGACGGAGAGCAACCAGCCAGGCGCCGTTTCTGACACTCAGAAGATGAATATGTTGTGACCGATGGAACCAGAATTTTACTGATTTGACGTTTCGAATTCTCGTCCAAACCCATCATCAGAGACAGTCACTGGTGACCCAAGTCAGCAGTCTTCTGTGATGACGGGTTCGAGCGTGAATCCGAAATGTCAGGCAAATAAACTCCTTGTCACAACGATCACATCATTGTCATCAACCTCATCTTCTGAAATGTTTCCTGGAACTCGCTGAGCATCGCAGATGAAGGGCGGAGAGTAGCAGGCACAAGGGACTGAATTGTACAATTGTACCTCTGTCAGAACGACATACGGTTGAGTTAAATACGTCGGAAGACAAATTAACCAAACCTAAATAACGCATGGATTTCTCCCGACAAGTGAGTCCCTACACAGCCATCCAAATGACAATCCTCTATGTCTGAATGGACGATAACGCGGAAACCAGGAGCTAGTTAGGCGGTCTCTTATGATTGAAATTTGACAGAAGCAGTCATTCGTGTCCTGCGACTTCCTACAGTGGAATTCACCGACGGGGTGTGTAGATTCCACCTGAGTGCACTTCGCCAAGCAATCAAACATCCAACGTAGTCAATCAGAGGCGGTGTACATCCGGCAGTGTGGACCAGGTCGGTATTTCCCGAAGGCGTTTGAATGAATACAGAATCTGCTAACTACGCTCAGGTCGTTCATCAGGGAGTGGCGTGAGTTTAATAGACAATCAACATTTCGTCTGCCCAGCCTCAGAGACGGGAAAGTCATGCGCACTGCTCCCCTCACATGACCCTCGTTGACCGACCATGATCGTTTGCCGTGGAGCTGCATCAGACCCGAATTTCACTGTCACTAGCGTTCTACCCCAGCCCACCCTCGTTGACCCCGGAGATAATTGGCGGCTCCAGGGGCGTCATGCCTTCACCGGCTCCCGTCAAGTTGCGGCGGGCAAATTAATGTGGCCGTTGACTGAGCAGTCGTCGGAAATCCAGGCTTCAAGGTGTGATCATCGCCTCAGCTCACTGTCTCATGGCAGGTGCAGAGAAGCCGAGATGTCCACCGACTGCTACGTCAACGGCCATATTAATTTTCCCTCCCCCCACCTTGATAGGAGCTGGTAATGGCGCGAAGCTCTAGAGGCCGCCAATTATCTCCGCGGTCAAAGAGGGTGGGTCGGGGGGCACGACATCATGAGTAGCAATGTGTTTGTGGCAATTTTCAATGTTCAGTTATGCTGTCCTTCGGGGCAAACTAAGTCGTCAGTGGGGACTCCTAGAAATGGAGTACAGGTAGCCAATAGTTTAAAGCAAAACGCCGTACCGAATGGATGTTGCGCCTGCATTTCCATCGTCTCCCATACCGGCCCTTCGATCCATGAAGTCAACTATTCGCCGTTTGTCGAGCTACCCCAATGTCGCAATTACCACGGCCAGCTGCTCCAATGAATTCTGCAAACCTTACACATAATGTTTGCCCCCAGCGGACAATGAAAATGGCATACAAAGGGCCCAAGTACACTTTCGGCACCCAATATGGACACGAAAATGACGTCCCCCGGTACTACAGGTGGTCATGCGCTTAATTCCAGGGGGCGGATATTCCCTTTCCTAACTCTGGCGCTTACCTATATCCTAACCCTTCTAGACCAAACTATAAATTTAGCCATAATACCTCTGGCTACCGAATTTAGCGCAAGGCCAGCTGTAACCGGCGAGGTCCATATTCCAGTCCCCTGCATATCAGACGTGGTGTGAACCGCCGCAGTTATCACAATTTCCATGTTTTCATTGGCCTTGTGAATGACAGAGATTGACCGGGGTTCATACAGACATTTATGCCAACTGAAACTCGTGCTAGTGTTGTCATTTGATTGCATTTTTCAGTTGTCATTTGGTTACCTATGAGATACAAAAAGGACCTGGTTTCACGTTTACGCCTCGGGCTTTTTCACTCGTATTTAGTGGTTTCGTTCGGTAGAGACAACGGTCGTTATCCTCATCACTTCTAATGAACGCAGAGTTAAGCTGAGATCTAGCCTACTGAATGACGATGTTTGATTAGCCAACTATGAGAGATCGAGAAAGAGAGCCAGAAAGAGGAATTCGCATTATTTTGAAATCATAAATTCAAGATTCTCAGCAAAAAGTTGGCCCCATCTACTATGGTCAGTAAATAAGTTAATAGATTATTTCAGAGTCAAAAGGTTCATCACAAAAGGAAAGATTATAATGACGACTGTTCAAAGCTTAACTACTGTATTTCCTTCTCTTCATACGTAAGATAGCGCACCAGGAATGACAATACAGAAGCTCTAAAAGCCGATGTGCGACAAGATATAAGTCGGAAGCCGCGGCGCATCGGGCGGGAGGAGTTCACAGAAATAATATCGGAATGTAAGGGATGGGCAACGTCATCTATCATCCGACCAGCAAATTGCTTGACCATATTGAAATGTCGTTGTAGGCTAATATCGATTTAAAAAAAATTAGAAACAGCAGCGGCAGAAGAGAGGATTCGGAGGACTCGTTTTAAAATTAAAAGATCCTTTTTTGAGCAACGCAGGCAAAATGACAGAATATAAAGTTGTATAAGTGAAGAAGAAGAGTCGAGCACCCAAACACTTCGTTTATTATCCTGAGCTTTTAGACTCGTACAGGAGTCCATCGTCAGAGGTAGTGGCAGAAACAGGACAAGCGGCAGTTATAAGGCACGTAGGCCCAATCATCGACCGACGTCGCACGACTGGAGGTGACTACGCAGGGCTCTGTACGCCGGCGCCAGATCGATAAATCGTTTGACCGAGTTCTCATCCGAGGTCCAAGCTTCAATCAATTCTCGGCCTGTTTTGTTTCCGGCGTGGGCGACTATTTTGGTGGCTGCGAAGTTAAACTCGTGACCCATTTCGTAGGTGTGGGCGGCCACTTGTGATAATGCGTCGCCTCGCCGCACAGTCAGCTTATGTTCGTGTATGCGCGATCGGAGCATGCGTCCAGTCTGTCCTGTGTAGTTACAAGGACAATTTTGACACGGAATGCGATACACTACTCCAGATTACTCTTCAGGTTTTAACCGGTCTTTATTTTCATGACTCTGCTGCGCATGGTGGCTTTGGGGCGGTGTGCAACTCCAACACCTAGCTCCGCAGCAATGCGCTCGGTCGCCTCTGAAACACCCTTGATGTATGGCAGAGAATGCCATATCGTCGGTGGCGTTGATGTTCGAGTTCTCTGGTAGCGACCGCGTAGGCAGCGACTTATGAATGCCCTCGGATAGCCATTTTGCACAAACTGGTCGCGGAGATAACGGGCCTCACGTGCTTTGTCCTCCGGTTTGCTGCAATGGGTTTGGGTCCGTTTGAAGAGCGTGTTCACACAGCTTCGTTTGTGAGCCACCGGATGGTTGCTGTAGAAACTGAGAAGCTGCGTGGTGTTCGTTGCCTTCCTATAAACCGTCGTTTCAAGTTTACCGTTAAGGTTTCGTCTGGCGAGCACATCCAGGAAGGGCAACTGCTGTTCCCGTTCTTCTTCCCTCGTGAATTTTATATCCGGGAAGACTGCGTTGAGCAGGCTGTGGAAATGTTGCAGCATATCCTTCTTTACGATGACGAACGTGTCGTCAACGTAACGGCGCCAAAACACCTGTTCATGTTGGAGGAAGGCAATCGTTTCTAACTCCTGTAGGACCAGTTCTGCCACCAAACCGGAGACCGGTGAGCCCATTGGGGTTCCCTTGATTTGTTCATAGGTCTCTCCCCAAAAAGTGAAGAAAGTTTGTTGGCAGAATTCAAACAGCCTCATGAGGTGTTCAATTTTGAGGGCATATAAAGTTGTGTAAGTGGCGCATCGAACGTGCTCTCTAGTTTTCCAGTAAGCGAGGGTTCCTGCATGCTCCTGCATGCGCTTAATTCCAAGGGGTGGCTATTCCTCTTTTCTAACTCCGTCTATTGCCTAAATTATATCCATTCTAGTCCAAACTATAAATTTAGCCATAATACCTCTGGCCACCGAATTTAGCGCAAGGCCAGCTGTAATCCGCGAGGCCCATACTCCAGTCCCCTGCATGTCAGACGTGGCGTGAAACTCCGTAGTTATCACAATTTCCATGTTTTCATCGGCCTTGTACATAACAGAGTTTGACCGGGGTTCATACAGACAGTTATGCCAGCTGACACTCGTGTTAGTGTAACTGGTCTAGTTTACGCCTCACCTGACATTTATATTGCAAGAGACACTTGTCACCACGCCAATAACGATAGTGGAGTACGAGAGAGAGAGAGAGAGAGAGAGAGAGAGAGAGAGAGAGGAGTGGATGTACAGTACCTGTGCTAACTCATGAAATGTCACCAATTAACACAGGTTAACGCCTTTAACGCAAAATCGGTAAACACTACGGCTCCCAAAGTCTGATAGCGGAAAATAAACGATGTGCCAAAGAAATAAAGCAAAGTTTGGTTAAGAAAATATTATTTACTGAGATAAAAATAAATAATTTTCGACAAAAGTCACAGTTTCGAGAAACGCCTATATTACAACCAAGTTAATAAAGGCTACGTATGAGGACGTATAAAGGAGGAGGGCGCATAAAAGGTCAAAAATAATTAAGGACAGAAACAGATACAAAAAATTAGTACTTTGTAGATTGTCCATTCGAATTAATAACAGCAGAAAGTCTGTCCGACATAGACATGACAAGGTTATCTATGGTGGATTGTAAAATGTAATTATTGAGTATGAAATCCAATTTTTCCTGCATTGAAAGAGTCTTCTTAGCTTTGTGCCATGCGCTTAATTCCAAGGGGTGCCTATTCCTGTGTTCTAACTCTGACACTAGCCTAAATTCTAACCCTTCTAGTCCAAACTATAAATTTAGCTACCGAATTTAGCGCAAGGCCAGCTGTAATCCGCGGAATCCATATTTCAGTCCCCTGCATATCAGACGTGGTGTGAAACTCCGCAGTTATCACAATTTCCATGTTTTCATCGGCCTTGTGAACAACAGAGTTTGAACGGGGTTCATACAGACATTTATGCCAACTGACACTCGTGCTAGTGTAACTGGTCTAGTTTACGTCTCACGTGACTACTGCATTGTAACAGACGTTGTCGCCACGCCAAATACGATAGAGCAGAAAGAGAGAGAGAGAAAGAGAGGGCGAGAGAGGGAGAGAGGTGTGGGTGTACATGGCTTGATGAAATTCGACGTAAAACTCGTCAGACGATAGGCTGATGCTTTTTTGAAATATCAAATAATTCCGTGGCGCCAGTTACCTTATGGTTATGACTACGAGTCAACATACTTATGTATGACTGGTCTGGAAACCGGGCTTTTCCACTCGTCCTTAGTGGTTTCGTTCGGTAAAAACAACGGTCATTATCACTATCGCATCAAATGAACGCGGAGGAGAGATGCGATCTACCCTACAGAATTCCGTAATCCCCTTTGGGAAGACGTTGTTTAATTAGTCAACTATGAGAGAGAGTGTGAGAGGGAGAGGGAGAGAGAGGAATACGCTTTAATTCTAAGTCATAATTTAAAATTTACAGCAAAATATTTGCTCCATTCACTATGGGCAGTAAATAAGTTAGTAGATTATATCAGAGTCAAAAGGCATAACATAAAAGGAGCGATTATTATGAGGACAGTTTAAATCTCAACTTCTGTATTTCTATCTCTTTACACGCAAGTCAGCGCGCCAGGAATGGCATAACAGAAGCTTGAAGTGCCGATGTGCGACAAGACATAAGTCGGAAGCCGCGGCGCATCGGGCGGGAAGACTTCTCAGAAATAAGATCAGATTGCAGAGGATGGGCGACGTCATCTTTCATCCGACCAGCAAATTGCTTGACCGTATTGCAATGTCCTTGTATGATAATATCGACTAAAAAAGATAAGAAACACCAGCGTCAGAAGAGAGCATTCGGAGGACTCGTTTTAAAATCAAAAGGTCTTTTTTGAGCAAAGCAGGAAACATGACAGGAGAGCAGTATATAATAAGATGAAGAATGCAGGCATCGATGAACCGCCAGACTAAGGGTTGAGGCGTGTGGTAGTACCGACCGGCAGACTCGTTGTAGAGGTCGACCAGCACAGATGATGCACCGGTCTCTGAAGATTGGGATAGCGATGCTGCTATTTGAAAAGCCCGACAGATACTTCATCCCTCTTCTCTGCGATGTTTAATCTTGGAATCTCATTCTCTACACACATCACCCCCACCCCGACCACCACCACCACCACCATTACGGAGGACGAAACTGTAAGCTGACAGGGGCTCTCACAGACGGGCGCTGCCATGTCCACCTGATGTTCCTCCGCTGAAGTTCAGCACTAACGATCACCAGAGAATGGTGTGCAAGTATAAGTCACTCTGTTCGGCTTCCCTCATTCTGCACTCAGTGCCCAGACTGTTCCTTAAAATCTAGAAATTGTAGTATTCAAAACCAGACAGTAGGATTATTTAACTGGGCATGTTGGCTACCCACTCGTCAAATTGAATAACGGAATAGTGTCGAAACTTCACAAAGCCCTAAATTCCACGGCAGATGGCAGAGAGCAATCAGCTGCCGTTTCTAGGGCCTGACACGTACGTAACAGTCACTATTCGCTTGACGCTCCTATTTGGGTGCTCGTAAGACCCAAACGTGTTTGCTGTGATAGTGTCACTGTTTCCGTAACCGCTATCACACAATTTCGACTGCTTCAAATCACGGAGGAGATGGCGCGGCCGTCATAGTCCGCAATCTTCGCCGCCGGTCGGTCGTGGCGTTGACAGAACTGTCTGCTCAAAGGTTTCAAACCAAATGTGTTTTTTTTTCGTTCCCTCTAGCTCTCAAGTGGAACACAGTCATGCAAATTGTACACACGCGGTCATTAAGGTTGTCTTGCCATCTCTGTTCACCGAGAAGTCAAATGTTGGAGTCAAGTTGAAATCACCAAGGGAGTGCAAGACTGTGCGATCACACACCAGTGGACAAGAAGTCAGCCCTCATGACAGAAAAACATGGCTTGGACAAACCTATGCGCGCACCAATTTGCATTGGACTCTCGAAAAATTGGGATTTAATCTGGACACAGAAACATAATTTCCCGTGGTCCAACGATGGCTGAATTAGTAATCCCACCGAAATTTCTTCAGTAACTTTCTCTCCTACACTTGTCCTTGAAACATGACATGGTCTTGCAGGTGAAGTGATGCGATAATCACCTCAACAGATTTAAGAAAGGATTTAAAGAGTACACTTGACTAGCGCTAACGGAATTCTCCTATGTGCTTGTTCGGACCATCCTGCCAGTTATGGGTATAACGGATCATCCACTCACATCTCGGGGGCATTCCGTCACCACCCCTTTGGCCTCTTTGAGTTCCTGCGCATGCCGTTTGGACTTCGCAACGTCTCCCAGACCTTCCAAAGGTTCGCAGACAGTGCTTCGCGGCCTGCCATTTGTCGACGACCTTCTGTTAGCTAGCTCCACCACTGAAGAACACATGGAGCATCTGGCAACGGTGTTTGATCGCCTTCAACAATTTGGCGTTGTTCTCAACCCGTCCAAGTGCGTCTTCGGTGTTTCCTCCCTAGAATTTATCGGTCCACGGCATTCGGCCTCTTCCCTCAAAGGCTGCCGCCATTCGGGACTTTCCACTCCCTACCTCAAAGCGTCAGTTGCAACGGTTCCTTGGTATGGTGAACTTTTATTGCCGGTTTCTTCCGAACTGTGCCTATACCATCCTACCTCTGATCAGTCTCCTTTCAGGTTCTAAGCGCACCTTTGAAATTACACCAGCAGCACTCACGTCATTTTAGCAGGTAAAAGCTCTTCTGGCTGATGCCACCATCCTGACTCACTTTCATGCTGATGCACCCATATCTCTGATGTTCGATGCCTCCAATGTTGCTGTTGGAGCGGTTCTTCAACAAAGTCTGCCAGATCCTACCGTGCCTTTGGCCTTCTTCTCC